CAATTAATGATCCTAAACAACATTTTTCGATCTCTTTTCCACTAAAGGTCCATTTGTTTTTGTTTTTCTGAAATAGAACAGTCGCAACAGTCGCAGTCTCTAACCCATTTACTTGCTCAGCGTTTTCACCTGGGAAGTTGATCCAAGTGAACACCTAAGAAGTGACGTGAATGAGTTCAAACGCTACTTAGTTTTACTGAATTAGAAAATCTTCCCTTGAATAAGCTCAAGCGCTACTTAATTTTCTTGAGTTAGGGTGAAAAAAGAGAGTGAAGGCATCGGCCTGTATTGAGAAACTGCTGATAAAATGCTGACTCTGGCTTTGGCTGAGATTTCAGTGAGGCGTGGGTGGAGAGCTCTAAGCCCGACTTTATCCCTCATTCTTTTTGCTGTGAATGTTCGCGAGAATCCGGCGGGGTATCAAGTAGCTGCTGCAGCGAAAGCAGCTGAACATATGTGTTAATGGACATCAGTAGGCGATGATGATATAGTGCTTCAGCATGGCACTTTAGGGGATCTTGATGCTGAGGAAATGGTTTCGCACTCTCCTCGGTTCGTTCTTTGCCAGTCACATCGATTGAAGTAGCCTATCTCCTCTCAATTTTCCTCCACTGTACATGTTGTGATTTTATCCAGGCACATATTCAAAGCGAGAAGTACCTCGGTTGACTGGATTCCAATCTTCAGCACGCTTCCGAGAGACATTTTTCGATCTGGCAGACGCCTTCTGATCTCTGACAGCTCTTTCCCCAAAAGTGACATTATTAGAAAGCTGAAAGCACAGAACGGGAGTTTTTAAATTAAATTGTTTTTTTAGTGGCCGTGATGGCAATAATTCATTTTTTGGAATTTACAGAGGAGGCCGAAATGCGAAAAAGGGTCTATTCCTCGGCATCATTAGTAATTAGTGAACCTGTCAGTAATTAATGCTCCGTATCGAGGAGACAAAAAAGTTGATTAAAAAAATCTTCACGAGCAAAAGTCTCCGAGAAATTGAGAACAGTGGCGTATGCCAAGGAGGACCTTTTGACGATCAATATTTGGCGTACATGGCAGGATACGGCTTCAAGATTTAGCCCTTAGACTCAACTATGCTACATTGGTTAACAAATTGATCGACTTGGTACCTGAAAGTATTGGTTTTACCGGCCGCCAGTAACCGGCATATGTGCTTCGATTGTTGCATTTTCTTCATTACAAACACCTCCATTTTCAGTATCTCGTCGTCCTTCGATTTCATGAACGGTTCCACTTTCATCGCTGCTCTCTTTAAAGAACTTGCAGTCTTGATCTCGTGATTTGAGTACATGAACTGAGTGCAAGTCATGCTTGTTTTTTCCGCCCACTTTGTGTGCAACAACTTTTCTAACCAAATATTGTCGAGATCCTGCCTATGTGTGTGTTTTATCGGGGGCTTCAGTTCAGCAAAAAACTGAAATTCTAGAAGGATGTTTACTGTCGAGGATGTGTTAAACTTCCACATATGGTACGTGAAAGTTCACACGAGAACCCTCCAATTCGAAAATTAGACAGGTTAGCTGAAATTTTAGGAGATTGTTTCATGCCTTGTAGGACCCAGAAAATTTGGGTTCAGATTCCGTTTACGGACATGTGAAATTTTTGGCAAGAAATTTTTTAGCTCAGAGTCGGACATTTCGATGATTTTTGCGCAGAAGTTGTAAAACAGTGAATATTTTTAACAGCGAGTGCCAGCCGGATGGGACTGCGCAAGAGGCTTGATTGCAGCAGTTATTGTAGTGTTTACGATTATTTTAATAGTTATCTTCGTCTTGACCTCCTG